ACATATATATGTGTATTTATATATGTATAATATACTGAACGCCATTAAAAACGTAACACTTTGTTCGCAGAGTCTGTATGGTACACGTTTGTATCAAATGAAAAAAAATCATAAGAATTGTTTATTGAAGTAAATTCAAATTCGAACAAATGGTGACCATTTTAATCACATACTTAAATTGAGTGCTATACACAGTCTTCCCTCTTTCAGAGCTCCCCCTTCAGACAAATTTGCAGATAAGCACAAATCGAAAGTTAATGAAGATCTCACACTCTTGGTATTTTTTTTTTTGGCCATCATTTTCATGTATACAGACCAGGACACGTCTTCACATGGATATTATAACATTTTCAATGTTTTGTTGGGGAACTTTTGGATCAATGCGACCTCCAATAGCTGCAAATTCGCAAAACGACCTCTTGCGTGCACTAATTGTTTTATATTGTGCAAAGGGGGGTACGGAATAAAAATATGTTTACAGTTGAGCCAGCTCTGATTTTTTAATTCCTACCAGAAGATGTGGAAGTCATTCCTTGTCAAATGAACCAGCCTCCTAAAGTATCTAAATTGTGTAGGTAGAGAGGTAGAAAAATATTTATAATCGATTCAGTTTGCAGAAGATGGGGAAACAATTCCTACAGTCAGAGGAGCCAGCCTCCTAAATTATCTCAGTTGTGTAGATGGAGGTGTAGAAAAAGTACATATTTTTACTAGCGAATCAATTGATATTTGTGTCTCGACGAGGTGAAATCAGGCGATCTGCAGTTTTTGGACTTTTAGAGTTTTTTAAAATATGATTTGAAGCTTGTTCATTTGTCTTTCTTTGGATTAAAAAATTACCCGTCTATCTTGAATAGAATCTAAAAGACATTTGCGATTAAAGGAGGTGGGGTCGCCTAGTGTCAGAGGAAAAATTACCGAGAAGATGACCGCCAAAGTTTGGAGACTGCCAAATCTTGAGAGTCCTTGGAAACTGCACATTTTTTAAAGCCTTTGATCAACCTTTTCCCCGCAAAATCCATGCTTAAATACTTTTAAATAGACAAAAAAGGTGTGGGGCCAAACAAATAAAATAAATAACAATGCAAATATCGATAAAAATTGCCTGGCGGGCAGAAAAATGTCGGTTTGTCTTATTTAATTATTATGACGAGCACTTGATTTCACCACGATGCTACACATCTTTCTTTTACCAACAGAAGATGTAGAAATAATTCCTGATGAGATGACCAAGTCCATCGCTGAGGAGATACACGATGTTCTCTTGGGTGACGACAACACAAAGACGGATGATGTATTTCCTAGCAATGATGCTCAAACCAAACAGCTTCCATTTCCGTACCCGTTCACCTTAAAGCATGTCGGGTACCTGTTCGACAAATCAAGACACCATTTCACGTCAACGTCCAAACCACCCAGGTATTTTGGAAATGACTTTCTCATCGCCCACACCAATCCCTTTTTTATTTTTCATTTTCTTACTTAAAACACTCACAAACAGAACAATAAATAACAACAACAACAACAACTACAAACAACGACAATAACAACAATAATAAAACCCGCAGCTGGTACTACAAAGCTTTAAGCATCGTTCATCATCCTCATCATCATCATCATCATCATCATCATCAACAACAACAACAACAGCAACAGAAACAGCAACAACAACAACAACAACAACGAAGACGACAAATCAACAACAAAAACCAACAACAACTTAATCATCAAAAGCATTAAGAAGAAGTAAAGAAACCCATATATTTTCTTCTACCTAGATCACGAGGTTCATCCTCGACGTCCAGGTCGACAGTTGAAGACTGTAGCTCCAGCTCCCGGCCCGGGCTAGATGACTCCAGCTGTCCGTCTGCCAAGAGTACCCCGACGCATGTACCGGCCAAAAGGCAACAAGAAGCAAAACCGGAGGTTGAGAAAAAGAAACCAGGTGATTGCTCAAGTCACTTGCAGGTTTTATAACCACCTTGGGCTTCTGTCCCTCTGTGTACTGTCTTCTGTTTTGTAACGGTTAGGGGTTTCGCTGTCGCATTTAAGAAACCCGAGTTCGATTCCTGAGTGGGAAGAAATTTTAATCGAGTTTCTCGTCTTTGTGTTGGTATGTTTATCCCTCTTAGCGCGGGTTGGCCCTGACAGGCAGGATCGTAGCCTGATTGCCAAATGATCTAAATTGTGTCGATATGGCGTAAAAATAGGTCTATAAAAACACTTGCGTTCCTGTCATCAAAAGTATCTGAGTTACAGAAAAGAGCAGTATATCAACACAATATTATTGTGAGCAAAGAAAAGCAAGTCCAACAGACAGATACCCCAGAAGGAGAGTTAAGAAATAGAATATTCAAATAACGTCATCCAAACACCCACAACCAGGATTTTCCTGTCTTAAATGGATTTCATTTTCCCCTCACAATCAATCCTGTTCTTGGAGTTTCTCCTGGAGACTACTTTGTTATAATCGATTTGTGACTTTTTTTCTGACTGTTGGTATCTCGAAATTTGCATTCATATTCCTACTTATGAGAAGACAGGTAAACTTTTTTATTTCATTTAAGTTAGTTTAACGTCTTTTTTAGTTTGTTTGTTTATTTGATTTTGTTCGTTTTTGTTTGTTTGGTTGATTGGTTGGTTGGTTGGTTGGTTGTTTTTGCTTTTTTTTATCTTTATTGGGGGGGGTTGGTGGTAGGTAGAGAGGGTGGGGTAGGGATCTGTCTAAACAGCTGAAATACTCATGAATGGCAGAGAAGAAGAAGTGGATATGTTACAGTGCGGTCAATTTGAGGGTTAACATTAATTCAATTACTAAATACTTTTATACATTATGAAATCACAATGATTTTTCTTCTTTTTTTTTTGTCTGTTGAGTCCTTCATATTACCTGATCCAAGTCTGACTCAAGGACACCTGTACCTAATGCAAAAAGTCCACGCAGTGTTTCTCTTGAATTCACGAAATTAAACCCACCCAACCCAGCGCCTTCTCTTCCACGGAACGCGTCCCTCACGCTTGTTCCTGCTCTTTTTTAATATTTTCTGTTTACATCTTCTCCGTCTTTCACTGTGTCTTTTTCTTTTTCTTTTCCACTTTATCTTCTCCCCCTCTCTATATTCTCTCCTTCTCTCCCCCTCTCTCTCTCTCTCTCTCTCTCTTTCTCTCTCTCTCTCTCTCTCTCTCTCTCTCACACTCACTCACTCTCTCTATGTC